TCTCTCTCGTGTCATCCTCAATTTAGGGGCTGGGCACAACCTGAGTCTTATATCCGGTTAACAAGTTAACAATTGCTGCTTTTTGCGGTCTTTTTTTTTTTCAAAAGAGCACTACTTCATAAACGGAGATCGCGATCGATCACTAAAACTCACGAACTTGCTTTTCTCTTCGCCCAGGCTGAAAAGCTAGAACTCAGGTGGTCGCTGGATCGGAAAAGTAAAAAAGTAAAGTAAAGTTTTCTCCTCGACATGTCTAAGCCCTTTCTCAGAACATTTCAGGCAAAAAAAAAAAAAAAGGGGGGGGGGATACATAAACATATGGACCAGTTTGTATTATTAAGATTTAAGATCATATATTAGTCTAGAAAATCTGTCAGTTTTGTTGGATTTACATTTAATTTGCCCTGACTTTTTTTATCATAAGTTCTGTGGTAGACTCGCTTATTTCATTCTACTTTTCTATTGTTACAAACGAGTTGGAGTATCCCCCCGACAAGATTGCCATTTGACATCGGTTGTTCACAACAGTGCACTCCAAAACACCGGTTTAGGATCAAATGGATGTTTGCCCAGCCCAACACTGGACGATTAACACCACCCTTTTCCGCTTCTACAACCAACAATTCCCCGCCTTCCTCGCTGTCGCCTACCGCGCAAGTGTCCTGTCCCCCCGCTCAGTCGCTGGTGGTATGTCGTCGCTGTGGTAAGCACACGGAGGAACTCTTTTGTATTGCATTGTTTCGTGGAGTGGATGTGATGATAGATAATATCACAATAATTCAGATAATGCCGTGCTGCAGACAAGTCGTTCATTTGTTCACAGCCTGGGTGAGTACCACGGTTTAAGTGGTGTGTTTTGTGGGCCAGTTCCAGGACGCGAAGCTTGTTCTTTTTTCTTCTTTTTTTTGGATGGATAGATCTGGACCTAACCTACTCTGTAGGGCATCTTTGTTTTTACGTTGTCATACAAGATGCATGTCACACCGCACTACCTTATGCTACGCTTTTATACTTTAAAAAAAAATCAGTTAGATTTAGTTCTAGTAAATAGATCTAGATATCTAGAAATCTAGATCTAGATCTAGATCTAGATCTATGTACTTCAGAATGATGACTTGTTTTAGTTCTCTCTCTCTCTCTCTCTCTCTCT